TGTTGATGTCAACTCATAGTGACCCTATGTACAACAGAATGAAACACTGCCCCATCTCAGTCACACTATACAGGGTTGCTATAAGTTAGAATCAACTTAATAGCAATGAATTTGTTTTTGGTTTTCTTAGCCTTGTCAATTTCCTCCCTGATGGCATGTTCTCCAGAAATGTCTTAATGATAACATACCAATTGTTTAGGAGCTTGATGACTAACCAAAGGTTGAAAGTTCAGTCCAACCAGAGTCACTTCAGAGAAAACCCTGGTGATGTACTTTCAAAATGTCAGCTATTGAAAACCCTGTGGAGCATGGTTCTATTCTGACACACAGAGGTCACCAAGAGTCCGAATTCATCCAAAGCATGTTCTCTTTCTCTCTCAATCAGCATTCGGAAAATTGCGGCAGATTAGTTTAAAGTTCAAGTATAGAAGCATATCAAGATATGAAACTTTCCCATATAAAGCAAAGAGGCAGATGAGACTCTTTAATCAAATATTTCAGCAGCTCTAGGTTTCCCGAATGGCGTGCTTAGCTTTGTAGATCCTGTGTTTATTCCTGTATTTACAAAACTTGGCCCCTAAAGCAGCCACTTGACAGCTGCTGACAAAACAGGAAGTAATTTAAATGCAGTCTTGGTTTTAACTGCCTTTCTAAATCCAAGGGTTTTAAAACTGATTTTACCCTTGGATTTCCTGCCTTGCTTTCCTATTGCTAGTGCTTATAAAACAATTGTGTAGGGGTTAAACATCAGTGCAAAGTCCTGTACAAATAGTGACTCGGTAAGGAACTGTGTCTACAGGGCTTTAGTAAGAGTTAAATTCCAAGCAAATCTTTTTTTTTTTTTTTTTTTAAGGTATTTGCATGAATAAATCCCAAGTAGATAAATCTTGAATGAGGAGATTCCTTAAGGGTTATCTTTTTTTTTTTTTGTTATGCTAGAGATTGATGGGGGTGGGGAGAGAACTAGAGAACTGGGAAGGGAAAAAGGGGGAAGTTAAAACCTTCCTTTCCTTCCTGCCTCCCTCAGAAAACCCAATATGGCATCTTCCATGAGGAGCTTGTTTTCTGACCACAGCAGATATGTTGAATCTTTTCGGAGGTTTCTCAACAATTCCACCGAACACCAATGCATGCAGGAATTTATGGACACGAAGCTGCCAGGCATTATAGCAAGGTAACAAAAAGGGACTTCTTCTTTTGTCAAAAAGACAAGCCCTGAACTCGTTCTATGCCAGTTGATAGATGGTTGAGCCCCGTCCGACAGGCTGGCTAAAGGATAAGGGGGAGTTACTGATAGCAGCTCAGTTCTGTTTCTCCTGCAGGGCTAGATGTTGGCTTTAAACATTCAAAGGCTCATTTGTGCCTTTTTTTTTCCCCCCCAGCTGCGGGGAGATAAGCTTTAACCATTTAAAGGCACACACCCTTGTTCATGCCTGAAAAGAGATGATAACAATCTTTCAAATTTTTTAGCCCTCCTTCAAATTTTACATTTCAAATCAGTCCCAAGCAGAATCTAGTATTCTTTTCATTAATAATCAAATAGAAATGATTGTCACATATTGTTTGCCCCTGTGGATTGAGTGGGTGACCCTCTGATCTCATTATATCAATTTAAATTCATTTCCTTACCCATTATTATGGTTATCACTAAAAAAAAAAAAAAAAAGTCTACTCCTTTCAGCTTAATATTAGCAATGTGGCCCTGAAAAGGGAATCTTGTTCCATTAACAGTGAAACTCTCTAGTCACTGCCCCCTTCTCACAGACGTGTGTGTGTGTGTGTGTGTGTGTGATTAATGTGTTCAATTTGTGCCAGTGCTGATAAGCATTGTGAGAGTAACAGATTTCACGTGCTTACAATAATCAGATAATCAAATTGCCTGTCTGCGGGTGGAATGCTGTAACTTTGCTTCAGGAAATAATGATGGAAAACTGGGAAGAAATAATGGCCTATAGATCCAATTTGCAGTATCAAAGGAACCTGATATTTTACCTTTTTCTGGATTTCACTATGGCAGACCTAAACTTCTTTTACAAGGGCATCTCCCCTGCCTGACCAGAGCAGGCTGTATTATGTACGATTACGGGGAATTTTGGGTTTGCTTCTAGTTTTTTATTCATCATGGTTGAGTTTTAAAATATTACTTTCTTTTTTCCTTTAATAGAATGTTATTTGCGTAATATGTTGGGTGGCTTAAGAGGTTTGCAATAGGCTGCTATACTAAATGCTGCCATTTAGCTCCACCTCCACTCTTCTGTCAGTTTGTCTTACTGTGGTGGCTTGTGAGTTGCTGTGATTCTGGAAGCTATGCCACCAGTATTTTAAATACCAGCAGGGTCACTCATGGTGGGCAGGTTTCAGATGAGCTTCCAGATGAAGACAGACTAGGAAGAAGGAGTGATGGACTACTTCCAATTATTTAGTCACTGAAAACCGTATGAATAGCAGAGAAACACTGTCAGATATAGGGAAGGAAAATGAGTCCCTCAGGTTGGAAGGCACTCAAAATGCAACTGGGGAAGAGCTGCCTCCTCAAAGTAGAGTTGACCATGATGACACGAATGGAGTAAAGCCCATGGAAGTAAAGCCCACGGGACCTTCATTTGCTGATGGGGCACAACTCAAAATGAAGAAAAGCAGCGGTAAACATCCATTAATAATCAGAACATGGAATGTACGAAGTATGAATCTAGGGTAACTGGAATATTTAAAGTGGCATGGGCTTCCAAAAGAACCAACAGATCTGTTTTGGAGGGAGTGCAGCCAGAGTGATCCTTGGAAGCCATGATGGCCAAACTTCGTCTCTCGTACTTTGAACATATGGTCAGAAGGGACCTGTCACTGGAGAAGGATATCATGTTTGGTAAGGTGGAGGGTCAAAGAAAAAGAGGAAGACCCCCAGTAAGACAGACTGGCAATGTGGTAGTATCAATGGGCTCAAGCATGGCAACAATTGTGAGCCTGGCCCAGGACTGGGCAGTGTTTCGTTTTGTTGTGCATAGGATCACTATGAGTCAGTATCAACTTGATGCCATCTAACAACAACAACAACAAAGCAGCACCATGGAATTAAAGCTTGGAGATCTGATTCAGTAAAGTTTGCAGTCAAGAAAACCCTATGGAAGAGTTCTATGCTGTAACACATGGGGTCACCATGAGTTTGTGATTAACTCAGCAAAATAACAACAGCATTAGTAATTAATACCAGGGTCACTATGGGTCAGAACCTACTCAACGGCACTTAACAACAAAAACAAGAAAGACAGGACTTCTGGTGTTGTGCTGTAGGATCAGCATTGAACTGCAAACCACAAGGGCGGTAGTTCAAACACACCAGCTGCTGCTCCTCTTAAACGTTATATAGGATGGCTATGAACTGGAATCAACTCGATGGAACTTAACCACAAGTTACACTACACAGTGGCTCTAAAAGATAAGCACTGGATTGTGAAGCACAAGGTGGGAGGTTTGAGCCCACCAGCTGCTTTACAGAAAAAGATGAAGTTTTCTGCTCTCCCAAAGATTTACAGCCTAGGAAACCTATACACGGTTTCTGTGAACAGACTGGATGGAGATGCTTAATGAAATGTATAATGCAAAAATCCAAAAAGACAGGCAGCTCTGGTAGCGTATTGGTTACGAATCGGGCTGCGAACCTTAAGCCCAGCAGTTCGAAACTACCAGCCGCTCCGCGGGAGAAAGATGAGGCATTCTGCTCCCGTAAAGATTTACAGCCTCGGAAACCTGTACAGGGTCGCTATGGGTCGGAACCGACTCAATGGCACTAAACAACAACAACAACAAGATACATTAGTATCTAGTTTACTTTATTGGCTCTTTTTGTTATTTATAAAATTAAAGGTGTTGAGTTAAATGCTAAATTATTTTTCAGGACTAGCAGTCTATAGATTATCCAACCATATAGCTTGATTTGAAAAGGTAGATTGGATGAATATAGCATAATGCAAAATGACCCTTTCTTTGTTTTCAAAATGTATACAATTTTATTGGAAATATTAAATGTCAAATTTGTGAACACACAAGAATTTCCAAAGGCACAATCAAGTTTTCCTTATATTGATAATATATAGGTTGTTGTTGAGTGTCACTGAATCAGTTCCGAGTCTTTTCCAATCTTTTCGGAAGCAGAAAGCCTCATCTTTCTCCTTCCAGCAGTGGGCTCCAACCACAGACCTAATTACATACAGTTAATTAGGAATTATTTGAACTAAGTGTATATATTTTTTTAAAAGTTGTTGAATCAATTCAGACTCATGGTGACCCATATGTTTCTATGGGGTTTTCAAGGGAAACCTGGTGGAGCGCTGTGGGTTAATGCGCCAGACTGCAAAGCCGTTTGAACTGCAAGATCGGTGGTTCAAGCTCACCAGCTGCTTCTTGGAAACACTTTACAGGGTCGATATGGGTCAGAACTGACTTGATGGCACTTCACAACAACAACAGGCAGTTTATTACCTTCACAACAAGAAATACAACAGCAGGCTCTGCCCTATCCATTGCCACCCTTGATTCCTGTAATCACATTTAGCAGGAACCAGAGATGGGAATGGATAGGGCATTTTTGAAATCATCTAGTTGTTCTTTATGGAATTTTCCTTCCTAATTCTAAATAACATGTTATTCTGCTGTTTCTTAAGTTTTCGATATTAAAATAGCTGCATCAACATTTCCAGTTTCCTTTCCACATAATGTCAGTAAGTCAAACTTTTTGGTTACATTTTTTTGTGATGTTTCTATAATTTTTCCTGGCGATACAGTGGTTAAACTGCCTGGCTCTTAATCAGAAGTGTGATTCTTCAAACCTACCTGATGCTCCATGGAAGAAAGATGTGTTTCTCTGCTTTTGTAAAGATTATTGTGTGTCTAAAAGTCCATTCCTACTCATAGTGACCCTGTATAGCGTTTCTGAGAGTGACTGGTGGGTTTGAATTGCTTACCTTGCAGTTAGCAGCCCATTGTTATCCTACAGTGCCTCACCAGGGCTCCCTGTAAAGAGTACAGCCTTTGAAAGCCTATGGGGATGTTCTCTTCTGTTCTATATATAGGCTGGAAGCCTGAATTGACTGATTAGCAATGGGTTTGGTTTTTGGTATATTATATTGTTCATAATTAAAGAATGCATTATGCTATAATTACATTTCCTTTCATGCTCAACTTTTTGACTTTGCTATTGTCAACAATCTTGATTTTTATTTGCTTGGTTTCTTTGTATCTATCACTACTTACATCCCAAGTAGAAGTATGAAACTCCTTTCAATATATTTAAATAGATTAAGCAGTCTGTTATCTTCCCTCTACTCTCTCCTACCATGGTGACATCTTCCCTGAAGTTTTTGTACTTATCTTCCAATCTGGGCTGGTTTTGATCTTAGTTTTCTATATAACTATTGATTAGGGGATGTACTTCACCTCCTGTAAATTCTCTTCTCTTCCCTCCAATAATGAATCCTTCAATTCTGGATGTCATTCTTTCCTTATTTTCTAGGACTTTATCTTATAGCCCTTCTATTAATTTTCTTTTATTATAGTTCCAGTTTTGAACTTTTTTATGGCATCCTGTCCATGTGTCACAAATGCAATATCTTCTCATCACTATTACTGTATGAACTGCTACTGTGGTCTCTACATGCTCCTTCTGAATGCCCTTTCTCAGTTCTTTTTTGTTCTGTTTCACGTAATAGATGAGCCTTGGTTGTCCAGTAAATTGTTGTTGCTGTTGTTAAGTGCTGTCAAGCCAGTTCTGACTCCTAGCAACTCTGTATACGTTTTCTGAGGAGAATCTGGTGGGTCTGAACTACTGACCTTGTGGTTTGCAGTTCAGTGCTGATTCTACAACACCACACTGGGAATTCATCCAAAAAATTATGAGGTTCTAATAACAGTGTGAATGTTTGTGTATGAAGGAATATGACATAACTCAGTTGTGAACAAACACATGGTAGTCACTGGGCATAGACTCAGTTTTTCCTGTAAAGTCCTCGGATGTCATGATGTGAAAGCTCATATTTCATTTTTCCAGATGAATTTTTCAGTTCCTTATCTGGGGAGAGTCAAAGTGGAGGAGGTCCAGTATATAGCAATAAATAATAAAACTTTTTGTAAAAATGGTGTGGGGTGTCATCTGACCTCTAACTTCAGGGAGAGAAGAGAGAA